TAATTGAAAAGTTTTCCAACATTGAAACAATCGTTTTTTATGAGAGTTTTTTAGGTGCACCTTACTTCTATATTATAAGTCTGATGCCTTCTAAAATATATTTGTCCTTCTCATTTTATCGCGACATGAGAAGTTGATTACTATTTTTTTTTTTTTTGTAAAAGTTCATATTTATTGCTTACCCTCCAAGCACATTTTATACTTCGAGAGTGTACACTATGCTCCCGTAGGAGCAAACTGTGAATATGCTCCCTCGCCCAAAACACCTACATAGGCTAAAAAAAAATTTAGCCTCAAATTTTGGGAACTACATGAGAGTTACTCGATGATTTCGAAAAAACTTAAATTTTGAGTTTCGTGACACCTGGATCTAGCCCTTTAAAAATTTGACAATCTCTATTCAATTTTGAGGCATTGATTTTTTCTAGTATATAGAGTTTACTCTACAAGTTGTAGATATTCATCCCTAAAGTTTGAGACCTAAAAAGTGTGCATAGCATGTGTTTTGTAAGAGGGACAAAATAGATTACATACTTCTGTGTTAATGGGAAATCTTTTCGATTATACTTTTATTCATTATCATTTCAATTTTATGTTATATATAGTTGATGACTAGCATATATTTGTAAATGGGATTGTATACAATGAGACTATTTGAAATTTTGGGTTTATTAATAAATAAAATCTAAAAATAAGGAATATGGAGATATTTTCCCTTAAAAATTCATTAATCTTTATCAAAAACATTCAAATTTTATAAAAAAACAATTACGCAATAATATCATAATTTTTACCTTTCTATGGGGGATTTTTTATTTTTTTATGTAGAGCCAAAATTTTCTTGAAGTTCATCCCAGACACCACTATAGTAGGCAAGCTTATCTCGCAGTTATTGATTTCTTTGAATTCTCACAGCCTTTTTGTAAATTTTGATAAACGGTTATAACCGGTTTCAAATAATTAACACGATATCACAGGATTTTCAAATCAATTCACTGTGAGTATCAATAGAGAGAGATCTATATGCAAGGAAATTACTAATGAATTCAAATTACTAATTATTTCTTTTGGGTCATTACTGATATTAGTTTGCTCTCGAATTATCATGGATACAAATTCAACCATTGTTGAGTGACCACTTGAATAATGTGATTTCTTTTGTTTTGCAGTATCTGCTCTAGTGTCCATCATATACCATTTTGTACATTTCTTTGTTTTTTTTTGTGTGTGGGGTTTTTTTTAGGGTTGCAACCTTAAACAATCCAGTTAAGGTGCACCTCCAAATTTTATCATTATATGTAATTCTGATGTAAAAACTTATTAGGATTATCTGAAATCTATTTTCATTCTCTAATTATAAAATCTTAAACTCCATAAATGGCTAAAATCAATCTATAAATATATGAAAATCTTGAAAACAGATGGTCTTGATATTGTATTGCAAGATGCATTATTTTTGGGACTCAAAATCTTTTTTTTTTTTCATAATCATGCATCTCAATATCGAGATGGTCAATTAGAGGGTTTTTCAAGATTAAAACAACCTTTTCCAATTGAATTTTGAGGTGCAACATTAATTCCACATTTTAGGATTGCAACCTTTTATATATATATATATATATATATATATTGGCCATATCACTTGCTATAATACGTACAAGCAAAGATTTCATGCAACCGTTGGATAGTAATATGATGCAACAACTTTAAAAAACCATCTTATGGCCATTTTTTTTATCCAAATTTTGAAAT